AAAAAACTTGTAAAAATCCATTTGAATGATTGATTCTAACATAAAACATTCATGCACGCGTATTATAGAAAGTTCGTATATAAATTGGTTGTTTATAATGAAATTATAAACCAGGAATCATATTTAATTCATGCAATCATCAACACTATTGGTCAGTCACAAAGTATATGTTTTATGCTTCATTTAGGGTCCAATCATTCGGTAATAATAAAGTTATACCGAACGACGGAACAAATTTAATGCGAAGAAAAGAAGCACGAAGGAATGCCAACGCAGTAATCAAACACTGTAATGATAAATATTTACTTTATAGGTATTCTATAGCCAGGTAGTTCAAGTTAATTTATAAAAAATTACCTAAGTGTACAAATAAATTATTTAATTTATCTTGGCTGTCCGTATAGGTTTTTGTCCAAACTAATGTTAAAGCTGCCAGAAAAAAGAGTAAATACTTTCTAAGTGATGACTTTTTTCTAAATTAAAAAAAAAATCTTAAAAATCGTGGAAATCACGCATTTTGAGGTTTGAAACGCAATAATCTGGCTAGCATCGAACTGAAATAGCGTATACCACCCCTACTCGTATGTGTTTTGCCTGCTGAATCAGTATCCCCTCATCAAATCACAATTAATTTTTAATCCCAAATAAAATCTTGTTGCAACGTTTTCTCCTTTATTTGCCTCGAATCTCAACCTTTTTTGGTCAATTGGTTCAAGAATAAGTTCATAAACGATCAATATAGCCACAAAAATGTCAGGAACATCATTTTTCTTTGACCTGATGGTATAAAAAATTAAAAACGTTTTTCTATAATGAAGAATTGAATCCAGACAACGAAGATTCTAACAACTCCTTAAAGGTCAATCCATGCTGATTTTTCTCTGCCAACCATTACTGAGATAAGGTATGGACATTAATTTTCCTAATCTGCGGTCCATCAAAAATTATTTCCTCTAATTTTGTATGTGTGATCTTTCAGAACTGTTCTTAATTTTTTTTGCAGTAAAATGTAAACGACAATTTTCCGACAAACAGAGTCTTCAAAGTTGAGGTCAAAAAGTGTTGAAGCAACCACCAAACACCAAAAAGTGTTTAAATTTGAACCAAACGAAATATGTATTAGAATAAGGTATTCAGTTATTACATATTTGATTCCATTTGACTAAATGACTAAACAATGACCTTATAGGTGAATATGTTTCGATTCACATTCATTAGATCAACATACATCACGATAGGGTGGTATATGTCTTTTCGAACAGATACCAGTGCCGTTACATGTTTCGAACCTCAAAATGTACGATTGCTTGACGATCTTTTGAGGTATAACCTCAAAAAAAAAAGTTACGACCTAATCAATGAAAACTGTTTTCATGTTTATGGAGATAGAGTGGTCTAATCTCCTAAATAAGTCATTTTTCTTATTTGTGTACCTGTGAGTAGCTTTTCCATGAAGTTTTAGCCATCTAGTGCATTCTTGACATTCCTATATGTCTTGTAGTTGGACCAGTTCAATGGCTCTGCTTGCAAGTCCGAATATAGTCGATAAGATTGTGATGGAAAAGTGTAGCAATGGTAACTTTTTTCCTCACGAATATTATTGTAATAATTACATAAGGTGCTGTACAAAAATATGTGTAATCGACATTGCCACAACCATAATTCTGAAGCAAAGTGACAAGTGCGATGGATAAACCGAACATTTTTTGTACATTTACACAATTAAAATAAGACTTTTTTTTCTTTATAAAGTAGTGTAAAAAATTAGGTCAACATTTTTTGCCTAAATAAAATTTTTATGCTTCAATTTGTACGTCATCTTATTCTCATGTAACTTTTGCTTATTTCGGCAATTTATAGTCTAAACTTGCGAAGGAAAATTTAATTTTCTTACTTTATGCGTAGATATAAGCCAGTAAACATATGGTTTCATAAACATATACCCCTTCCCAAGTTAAAAATTATTTCTCTTTTATAACGCTTTGCTCACGCACCCCATTTAAGCTTTATATGCCTAGAGTATCAAATTAGCGTCCAAACCCTATTCCCATAATATTCGCGTATGCTTCTAATCGTAACTTATGCTGTTACTAAGTGGTTCTGCAACATTACTGACAACGAAACCGTATTTTCTAATACAGAACTAGAAGTACGGCGAGGGTGGGTGGCGCGTTCATTATTTATTCATCGTAATTATTTATGTCAAAATTTAGAAATAATAACACGCTGCGACACAAACGTGCGAGCGAACAGCTGCGGCGGTGATTCCCTCACTAGCAGATCAACTCTATTAAAGGACAAGATAATTCAAAACATGTCTGTCATTGTCACAGGACTTGGTCCTGACACAAATGTGCGGTAATTGTTTTCCCTTCATTATTTGTCTATTAGCGGCAGTTGCGTGTCGTTTCGATGAATTGATAAACGTGTTTTTCCGCTTTTTTTTCTGTCGTGGCCTGGTGTATTTTTGTCGGGCATAAGCATTCGGTTTGAGAACCGACTAAATCAAATTAGTGGTTCATTTATCAGGACTTCCACGCGACGTCATGTGGAAATAGATATCGCCTTAACGGACACAGTATATTTGATCTAAAATATGATGAGAATTTTATTGTATAAAGGGACGTATCTGCGCTTTTTATTTTTTTTTTTATGTAATTCTCTCTCTTAATTCGGAAGTCACTAGAATAGTATGTGGTATTATTATTGTACCTTTATCTTAAAAGTATATAGTGTCATTAGTTTTTTTACTATACTTTTTATTTTTTAAATTTTCCAAAATATTGTTCAACACCTATTTTCTCCTAAAATATCACGAAGCACCTCTCAAAACGTTCAATATTATAACGTCTACATATATCACAATACTAACATTTGAAACCATTAAATTAAAATGCAAATTCTGAGCTTAAAACCTTTCTGGATGCAGCGTTCCGAAAGAGCCAGACAATGAAGGGTGGATCTTTTTGCAGTGTACCTGTGGAATGCCGTCCGATGTCTAATTGCTATTAATCAATGGTTGAGCTCGTCTCATAGCACGACCGATCAAATTATAACTCTGCGGTAAAATGCTGTTGGCTAAAACAACTATAACCTCGGTAAACAGTGCGTTTACACTTCCATGATTATTTATGGTCGTCTTGTATGGGATGAAGAAGTAACTGGGGGTGACTGAAGACCTCGGAACTGGAGATAATTGCAGTCGGCAATTAATTTTTATGTATCTTTGTCTTAAAAATGTTAATATAGATACCTTTTTGTTTGCTCAAAATTTACTAATTAAAGTAATTTTGTTAAGAATAACCTTTCGTATAATCCAAACATTGAATGTAATTATAATTTCACTGCATTTGACAGATGCTTTTGAATTTGTAAATTTACAGCTGCAACTTTAACATAACAGGTTGTTTAAGATTTCATTTCCTTTAAAATGTTATAGAAGGTTATTTTTACAAAACGGAGTGAAATATATGAATTACTCATTTGATTTATCTTGTCAATTAATCATTTAAAACTTATATCAGTTTACTTTTTACTTTTCCTGTTTGTTCAGTATCTGAAAATTAAGAAATTGTTGTTGCTATTCGTGAATAGCCAAAAAAACACATTATGCATCATAAATTGTCCACCACCGTCGTGACCCATTCATATTGCCGCGTCTTTCTATCAGCGACGATAAACAGCGCTTCTATCTCCCCCATTAAAAGACCAACGGTGTGCTTGATTTTAATCGGACCAGATTTCTTCTCCTCAGCTTTTGCTTGCCTCTTCGGGACTTAATAATGATTCACGAGGTGTGATACTGTCTTCTGTGAAACTGTACATTCTTTGTGTATCATCCAGCATCGGATTTAATTGCCAAGAACGTACCAGTACTGTTCAAAATGTGAAGATGAAAGATGATATTCGGTCCGCTGTAGCGCAGGGGGTTTTACGGCTTATTGGCCTCGTGTTCCTCGGGTTATTACAAAAATGTAAATAATAACAGTGCAGGGATTAAGTACTATTTCTCACTTTAATTTTTTATACGAAGGGAAAACAAAAGAGCTCCGCCGTTTGGATTCTGGATTTTATCAAGTCGGTTTTAAGTAACGAGTGATATCGTCAAAAGGAATTTAAAATTTTCTGATCAGTGACGGTAAGAAATTGATATTTGGGACGGTAGTTTATGGGAAATGGTCTCTAAAATTATTTTCAATCCGTATAGACGTTAACTGAATGCAACTGATTGATGTACTGAGGGGAGGGTTATCGGTTCATTTGAATTGAAGTAGTTTTGACTGATTTTTTTTGATTTTGGAGGTCATTTCATTTTTATTATAAGTTATTGTTTATCCATTTGGTTTCTAACTTAAATTAGATTTTTTGTTTCATAAAAACATGGTTGTGGGTATGAGTTTTCAGGTAACCTTTACTTACCCTTCTATGTTTATTTAAATGTTTAACATATTTTTAAAAACAGGTGTTCCCGTAAAGCAGATCTATGTCAGTTAGTAAAATTCTTTATTTTCTTTTAATATGTGTTTTATAAATGCAGGGTGTCCTAGAGCTATCTGGACAGACATTATCTCGGATACTAGTTGAGACTAGTTGCTTAAAAAATGCGTTGAATCATAAATATACATGCGAGTTATGAGGTGGTGCTTCGTCTTGCTGCCACCACATAGTGAGGCGCTCATTTATTGGAATTTCTTCAATAAGATCGGGAACAACATCTCTTAAAAAGGACAAATATCTATCACCAGTCAGAGTACCTTGATAAAAGTATGATCCAATTAATCGTCCATTAAATAAGCCGCACCACACATTATTACCCCAAATGGATTGAAAATGGGTTCCAATAAAAGGAGACCAATGTGTTCCATTAAAAAAATTAAAGTTTCGTAATATACCATATTTTTGGGACACCCTGTATATTTGAAAATAAAATGATTAACCGTATCTTTTTAAGCAGTAAACCTTTTCTATGTAACAGTTCTTTCTATCTCGACTAGATAATGCCTGTCAAGATATCTCTGGGACACCCTTTATATCTTCCTTATTGGTCTTGCATTATCGTTTGTTAATTTTATTACTATAATATACCATATATTTAACATTTCAGTCCAGCAATGCTCATATTTGTACTGTTGTGTAGGTATGTAATATTTTATAAATAGTCAAAGGATTATCTGACCTTACTTTACTTTTTAATATTAATGATTGTTATTGTTATTATAATGGGGTTTCAAAAATATAGAAGCTCTTTTTATATAAATACTATTAAGAGGTACTACAGTATTACTCATGTTTAAATATTTAAGAATACATTTAAATAAATAAAGTTATAAAAACTAACTAAATAACATAAAAAGCTGTTCCTGTTATACCACAATAGTTACGATGTTTATTCCTGGCAATTTTGATAAATCCGTTATCTCCCCAATCTTTCCCCATCGAATTTTTAACCAACCAGTAATCCGCACCGTTTTCTCTGCCATATCCCACCAACACCATGGCGTGGTTGGAATTGTAAGAACACTCTTTTTCGTACCACACACCACTTTTGTAGAACATCCACTTGCTGCTAGCATAAACACACACTATAACCGGACCAAACTTGGTAACTGCTTCTTTCAACGCATCTTCCTCGTCACGTATTTTTAATATTTCGATGCTGGGAAGTTTTATACTTTTAAATTTATCCTGTCGGCATTCCCCTTGTTTCTCCTGGTAAGGGTATTCTTCTTCTTTGGTTATGCCGTGTTTTTCTACATAGCCCAGCACCCTGGGGGGCCACCCTCCCAAGCAACTTGTGTTGGAAATGCAGTCGACTATGTTCTGCTCGCTGAAGGAAATTAGTTTGTTGTACTTCCTGAAGTAAAGTCCTTCCAATACGCCTATCTGGAATAAAGCAACATTCATTGCAGGTTTAGCAGTACTCGTATTTAGTAAAACATTGTGGAAATCATCAAGTAATGTTGAGAACCACGTATACAATTAAGGGACAAAAATTCAACATCACAGGTAATAGATGTATATGTGTATTGAATAAATTTAAAAATAATCAGTTATCTATAGGTTTAGCAGGGACAGACTTGAATGAGCCTGCAATCAGATTTTATGTAAACAATATTACATTCCTGGGCAGTAGAGAATATTAATCAGTTGCTTTTTCTCAACTCCTTGTGAAATCATATCATAATTCTGTATTAGTTTCTAAATACCTATTACAGTGGTCGAAAGGAACTACTTTTATTCATGTAGATATACTAACGACAATAGGTATGTTCATGTGATTCAACACTATGAATAGATGATGACATTTAAACACGTACGGAAATTGTACACACTTAAACATAAAGACTAAAATCTACTATTTATCATGAAGTTTGAGAGCAGTTCAAATTTAACAACAAAAAATTTACTTAGCAGCCGACAAAGGTAGAGCTTTACAAAAACATGCATTTTTTAGGTTTCATTTGGTTCAAATCATAAATTGTTTGGTTTCCACTGTATTTTCTTGGCATAACCAAGGTGTGAATCAGGTCCAACTAAACAATGACAAAATAGTTTTAAAATTACTTCTATTAAATAAAAAATGTTTCGAGGTTTTGCTTAATATTCAACTGAACATCAAATAATGCGTAACATTGTCTCTTTGGTTTAAATTGTTTGTTACATTATTTGTTACTTTACTAATTACTATACTTACTGCACTGAATATCCAACAAGCTCCACATGTCCCTTGATTTTTCGCAGGTGTTACGGCACCTTTCTCCCTCCAGTCTAAATACTCGGAAGTTCTGTTGTCTTCACCATGTTCTATTTCGTTGGCCACCGGTAGGGTATCGTTGTATATAAAAGTTTGACTAGGAAACATTTTGTATTTGGTGGTGTATTCGTCAGCAGTTAAATCAGCAAATTTGTTAACCTCCATTTCATATGTTGTTAGTCCTGCTTTGAACTTCTCATTGTGGGCGTTGATCATCTTCAAGTTATCTTTGAAGATGTTGAACTTGCGTTGTTCTTCTTCAACTGTATCGTATGACTTCTTGAATTCTAACTGAAATTATAGTTACTTATTTTCAGTGTCAGCCAATCTGATATTACAACCTGATTTTATTTTCTTTGTTATACATAGTGTTTTTTAAATACATATTACAGTCTTGGTATATTGTTCTCTATATGATTTTATACCTATTTTGGGATTCTTAATGACAATCCGTACCAGAATTTCCACCACTGGTTGACATATTTCTAAATTAATTCAGCAAAATTTTACTGTCAATTAGGCAATTTCAGGGATATTTATATAAATGCAATATTTTTAAAAACTTCTTTCTCATGTTTTTTAGTCTCAAAGATCAAAGCACAAAGTTATTACATGAATCTATAAAACACTCTGCATATATATGCAATGTAAACGAATTTCGCATAATTCAAGAAAATTTACAAGACAGGAAATACATTAAAATTGAAAAACTACATTTTCAATTGCAGGTAGGTACATGAAAATTGCTTTCAAACAATGTATATTACAGAAAATACAAATATTACCTTATATTTTTCCCAATGTTCCTGTTCTTTTACTCCAAAAGCAAAAGGTAATACCACCAAAAGAGTTATGTACAAGATATTCATATTTGTAGGTTTAACTTCTTTGAGTAAGAACAACAACAACACAGTGACGTTACTGTAACGAAAATAATTATTATTGAATTACAAAAAAGTAATTTATATTTGTTATAGTTTTGAAGATTTCAATAGAATACTGTATTATTTAATAGTGAAAGACATGCCCTATTTTTTCTAAATTAGCATGTCTTCAAAATAGAATAAATTAAATAAAAGTAATAATCATCCTAATTTTACTATTTCTATTTTATTAATTATCTATTTAATTTATTGCACTTCACCTTAACTGACCCTTTGTATCACTAAAGTCGCTAATTTAATAACCTTACTATATGAAACTGTCAAATAAGTTGTACATATTGAAGACATACTTTTATGCACTATAGAAGAACAGACAAAATGTATGTAAATAACACTTACCTTAACAATTTTGCATTACTCGCGACCCACTGCCAGATTTACGCATTTATTTCATTCACTGGGAGGGTCATGGATAGGTTATAAGTATTTTTAAAATTAACTTAAGATGAACTGTGACGCAGTTATAAATTCAAGATAATATTGGACAGATATATTGGTACTAAGAATAAAAGTCTGTGTATTTTCCTAATAAGTTTGGTTATCTGGTTCATTAATAAAAGTTATTTCGATAAAGTCGTCTGTTGCGCAAATTTAATATTTTGTTTACTAAAATGTTGTCGGGGGATTGAGATTTAACATTTCTTCGACAATCGAAAACTTAGGTTGCCATAGAAACGTTATCTGGACACGCGATATTCATTTTTGTCAGTGGTAAATATGCAGGCCAAAGGAGCAGTTCAAATGTATATTGCTTATTTTTTTATGAGACGGATGTAATCGCCACTTGAAAAAATAATGTGGAAAAGTTGGTAGGTATTGTGTAAAATTTGCTTTGTTTTTTGTGACTTTAATTAGATATGACTTCTAAAAATGATTCGTGTTCAAAAAAATTCTTTGAAACAGTATTAAGCAGAAGCTTTAGATATATTATTTACTGTTTTTTCCTAGCATTGTACGTAAACCTTTTTTCTGTAGAATTGGAACAAATATTTCTTCAAATATAAACGAGGCAGAAAAATGTTCACTAGCCATGTACAATTTTGAGAATTTTTATTTCTTGTATTTATAGTTTCACATATCTTTTTTAGAAGTCATAATACGCTGCAATACCAAGTAGAATTTTAGAAATTAGAATAACTGTGTAATACATCCAAAACGGAACACAAAATTTGAATGAAATTTTATGACTTCCAAAATCAACAATAGTTTTTAATTCATTGTAATTTATTTATGCAATTTTTAGGATAATTATGATATTAACAAGTCATTTGAACTAACTGACATGAAAGAGTCGTACGTATATTAAGAATGGTTTTTACGATTAAAAAGTGGTTAGTCCATTGAGGCTCGCTGTTTGACTCCTTAGGATTTTTTCTTATTTACGAAATTAAAATTAGTGCTGAAAAGATGCCGTTTTCAGACTATTGGTGACATGAAAGCAAATTCGTTACAGATTTTAAAGGCCATTTCAAATGAAACTATCCAGGACTTGCTTCGTGAAATAGAGTAGGGGCAGGGGGAGCAGTTTAAAGGAGACCAATGATGTATAAAATTAAATACTAAGGTTTTAAAAAAAATTAAGTTCCGCTATTTCCTGAACAGACCCCGTATGTATAAAATCGTGTGAAATGTAATACCTGATTCAATATGAACCTTGCTAGGTTCTAGTTTCATCTCTTTCTGGTAACGCGGAGCATTAATATTTTGAAGTATGTTCGTACATCAAAATGTTTTCTAAAACCTGAATTGAAACGCATTGCAATCGCTAGCCGAAGTGTTCTCATTAAGAAACCCATATGTTAGCTAATTTATTATGAAATTACCAGTAATAATTTATCCAGCGAATTAATTACCGCATAAAGGCTATATATCTGGAATTACATGCATGTGCATATGCCGCTAGGAGAAAATTGCAAGAATTTTAAATTGCAAATAATTAGAAATTCGTGGAAAGATTCCATCTAGTGATTTTTTCATTATTTAAAGGTGTCGTATGAAGTAGCTTGTCTAGGAACGAAATGATGCACCAATTTGTAAGTCTGTGGGAAAAATTTTAATAAAATACGTCATTATTTATTCCTGTGTCAAAATAAGAACTAATTCATCAAAGGAGAATCAAAACATGATAATATTTTACTTCGTATTGCTTTTGATTGATAATAAGTTACAAAAATTAGCTACTATTTTGATGAAAACGTTATCGAAATTGTATATAGCGGGTGTTATTGAAGACAAAGGCCAAACAGTTTTAATGAACACCTCGTGTTTTAATTTTATCACACTTTTTTCAACATTTTCATCATCTCAATAAACCGTAATTCATTTTAACGTCACTCCGTCAATATGGTATTAAATTATATGAGATCGTATATTTCGCAACGCATTAAGAAATAATTAATTTAATTAATAGTGTTTCAATAGTCTATTAAATTTACTCAATTAAAATTTGTTTAATAACAACGTAATATGCCCACCTGACTGAACATATGGCTAGATGCCTTGAAATAATTCATAATTTCCTCAAAGTTTAATTATATTAATTTGACGATATCATTAAGCTTGAGATACCATCAAATTATTTTGATCAAATTGATTTTGTCAAATTCGTAAAATAACAAATAGAAATTAATTCGAAAATAATCAGAAAAACTGTTAAACCCTGACTGATTCTTTTGGCGTCGTTAATTTTTCAATTTCTTGACGTATGCAAAATACCAAATAAGTAAGAACAAAAACAAAAACTATGTCACTTCAAAATTCCAAAAGTTAAGAGATATTATAGTCCAGTTGGTAGAGGTTTGGCCTGTGTCAAACCTTGATAACCCGGAAATAACTACACAGGCCTACTTTAAATGTTGAGTACAATAACATGCTAATTTGCTGACAAAGTATGTTATCAGGAAAAAAGTTATTAACAATTTAATCGTGAAAAATTGTTTTTCAAGTAGTTTTCTTTAAATAACTCTAAAGCTGAAAATCAGGAGAGGACTTATTGTTCTATAGGGTGTTATACATTCATCGGCATCTGAAACTCGAAACTTTTGCCAAATTTGTTCGAAGCTTTGCTGACACTTGAAATTTGGTACACACAGTGTAAATATGCAGAAACCAAAAGCAATTTGCAAAATTCAAGTATCTTCATTTTTGCAGATTTGGTAAGGTTTTATACGTCATCCTAATTTTATACGTCACCGTTTTTTTAATATTTGGACATATATTTATGTATATTTATAAAATATTCCATTACGGTAGATTAGCCAGCACAATTACCTACAATTTAAAAACAAAAATATTTTCATCGTTTAGATCCCAAGCTACTTAACATTTTGCGCCTGTTAGCCATACATTATTCAACATATCAACATAAAACAAAAACCTATCTACGTGTGGGGGTAAACCTGGACTATTTCTTATGCGGCTACTTAAAGTCCAAAGTGTACGTTAATAGACCACATAATTTAGAAGATCTCCAAAATTGTATTATAGATGAAATACACAGTTACCCCAGAAATAATTCATAATGTGCAAGAAAAATTTCTACACAGACTTACGTATTGTCAAGAAGTCGGTGGGTGGCAATTCGAACACTTAATTTAGGTAGAAAACTTAATGAATTGTATTTGCTTGACATAGGAATTGTTATTTTTTTAATGAATAAAATTTACGTTTTCTAAGATTCAATCGTCATTTACTCGAAAACTGTCCTATGTAAGATGGTAACATTTTAATACTGTCGGATCGACAATGAAACGATCTTTCAGAATAAAGAAAAAAAAATAGGGGGTTGCTATTTAAAAAAAATGTCGATGATGTCATTACTCGAAAACAAATGACGGTTGAAAATCGGCTTTTATTGTAAAATATGTATTTTTTAAATTAAAAATCGACCTGTTCGAGGATTTTTCCCAAAAAAAAATTGTTTCGTTTTTACTGAATTTATTCCATACTTTAGGCGTGTACTGTATATTGGAAAACTGTGTTCATTATCATTTACATTTAATTATTAAATTTAAAATATATATAAAATTAGATATCTAAGTAAAAAATAAAACGTTGTATGCACCACGGGAGATACTAGGATGACTATGGCCTTAGGCGACTTGCTTTCCTCGGGTCTATACGGCCCTCGGAGCAACGTGTCGTCTGCGGGCATAATCATCCCTGTATTTCCCTTGGTACATATTTTGGCTCTCTGAATAAACTGAAAAAATGTTTGTAGAAAATTATTTAAAGTTTCTACATAAACCAGTTACTGGAGATACACTTTGTAGCCCCTAATAACCTCATTGGTCGGAGCAAAATAATGAACATAGTGTTTTAATAATATACCATTTCTATTTTCACTTAAGCAAGCAACGGCCGGCCGCGATGAGAGATAAGTAAAATTAGATAAAGACGGTAATCTGGAAGAGAGAAAAAAACCAGTATAATGCATCGCCACGAAATTATCTTGGATTGTTGGCTTCGGTAATTAGCCATTAATTATGCATTTAATAAATTCTTTGGTCCGCCAATAATTACCGAGATAATTTTCCCTCAGTAACCCGATAATATTCCACATAAAATCGTGACAAAGCCCCGAGTAACAAATTAATGAAATTATGAATTATGAAAATGATCGCCGCCGTCAATATAGTCAGCCAGACGTTTAATGGCTCCCCCGAGCTGGCAACCATGTTAATCATTTATAAGGATAATCGCACCTACACTGTTACGATTAAAGGCTATCCTAATTGCACTTTGTTCTAGGGCAAAAATATGGCTCGCTAAACTGAGGTAAGCGGTATTTACCGGGTGGAAGAACGCGGTAAAACTGTTATTTTCTTTATACATACATTACTTTGGAAATTGTTATATGAGCTCAAATCGGCCCCTTTCGAGCCGCCACAAGCGACGAGGCTCTGGACTGGAGAGAATTCCTCTCGCAGGCATCTGCTCTTCGCAGAGGTTAGTCTTAAAAAATTAAAATAAAACGAATTCCTGGGTATTTCTTTCAGATACCGCTATTTTATTGTTGCAATGTGCAGGGGAAGGCGGTAGAAAAGGTGAGTCAATTTTTTTCATTAGTAACTTTGTTTTTTTTTAAACAATTTGGTTCGGATATCAGTTTTTCCAATATATTGGAAAAACTATTGATTTTAGAGGAAAGTGTTCATCAGACGAAATATGCGCAATAACAAGACCTATAAATTGCCGCATGATAGATTAAAATCGGATAAATTGTTTAAAAGTTATTGCAAAAAACATCAAAAAACGTGGAAAAGCAGCATTTTTTTAATTATCCATAACTTGGTTGTTATTTATTGGAATTTTATAAATATGCCTAAAAGTTGTGAGTTTTATCAAACTGTGCAAAAAATAGGCGCTGTGGGGCCAATAGTTATTGAAAAATTCTATGTACTTATCCCGTCAAGGGCAAAAATGCATAACCTTCTGTCTCTCCGAAAGTTATTGACAAAAAAGGGTTTAGAAAGTCGATTTTTAA